CCCATCACATGGTCACCCGGTCAAAAACGGGCATCACTCGCCCAAGACATATCCTCAACCTTAATACCACTGCCCAAATCTCCCCCCTACCCCCTACCTACCGTAGTGCCCTTAAGGACCAGAACTGGTATGATGCTATGTGTGATGAATTTAATGCTTTGATTAAAAACGATACATGGGAACTTGTACCCCCCTCCCCATCCCAAAACATTATCACCGGTAAATGGCTTTTTCGCCACAAGTTTGGCCCTACAGGTGAACTGTCCAGGTACAAAGCTCGGTGGGTGGTCCGTGGATTCAATCAGCGCTTCGGAATCGACTATGAGGAGACTTTCAGTCCGGTTGTGAAACCAGCCACGGTGCGCATTGTTCTCAGTCTAGCATTGTCTCGAGGATGGCCCATTCATCAGCTGGATGTGAAGAATGCCTTTCTTCACGACACCCTTCAGGAGACTGTTTATGCAAGTCAACCATCCGGGTTCCAGGATCCCACACGGCCCCATTATGTGTGTCGCCTGAAAAAGGCATTGTACGGCCTCAAGCAAGCTCCCCGCTCCTGGTATCATCGGTTTGCAGGTTTTCTCCTCACCTTGGGTTTTGTTGGGTGTAAGAGCGACACATCTCTCTTCGTCTACACTCGTGGGGACGACAGGGCTTATCTTTTGCTTTATGTGGATGACATTGTCCTCACCGCCTCCTCCCCCCCTTTACTCTAGCGCCTCACTCAACAACTCAAGGGAGAATTTGCTATGACAGATATGGGTGACCTTAACTTTTTCCTCGGGATCAATGTTCAGCGCACTACGGAGGGGTTATTTCTTCATCAGACACAGTTTGCTCAGGAGATCTTGGAGCGGGCAGACATGCTGAACTGCAAACCTATCTCCACCCCAGTGGATACCAAGGCAAAGTTAGGGGCCTCCTCAGGAATACCAGTTTCCGATCCCACTCTATACAGGTCCATCGTCGGTGCATTGCAGTATCTCACATTCACTCGTCCAGATCTTACATATGCCGTCCAGCAGTTATGTCTTCATCTTCATGCCCCTCGCAGCACTCATCTTTCTGCTATGAAGCGTGTCCTACGTTATCTTCGCGGGACCACCACCCACGGAATCACTCTCCATCGCACTCGCACGGATTGCTTACAGGCCTACTCAGATGCTGATTGGGCAGGGTGCCCCGATACTCGCCGCTCTACCTCAGGATATTGTGTGTTCCTTGGCGATAATCTTGTCTCTTGGTCTTCCAAGAGACAAGCTACCACATCCCGCTCGAGTGCTGAGGCTGAGTATCGCGCTGTTGCAAATGCCGTGGCCGAAGCAAGTTGGATTCGGAACCTACTTCTTGAGTTACAGCAACCCCTACGCCGCACCACCCTGGTCTTCTGTGACAACGTCAGCGCAGTGTATCTCTCCTCCAACCCTGTTCAGCACCAGCGCACCAAGCATGTGGAGGTTGACATTCACTTTGTTAGAGACAAAGTCGCCTTAGGACAAGTCCGCGTCCTTCATGTTCCCTCATCCTCCCAGTATGCTGATATCTTCACCAAAGGGCTCCCATCACTCCTCTTCTCGGATTTCAGACACAGTCTTGGCATCCGTCCTTCATCGGTTACGTAGCCGGGAGCATGTTAAATATATTGTATATATTTAATATTGTTATATTTGGTAGTTTCTCTTGTATAGAATCATTACATTTATGTACTACCACAATTAGGAGTCTTGTATTTTGTATATATATATATACGAGGCTTGACCTCCGAGATCAATAACAGAAAATAATTATTCTTCAGACCGTTCAATACAACATTTTGATCGTTAAATTTATATTTTCTTGAAAATAAGTTCAATCACACTCCCTTCGTCCCAATTTAAATCGTCTGTTTCAATTTATAATATTCGACTAAAATTGTTTTTAAATTATTTTATATGAAAAAATTGTGTAAAATTAAAAACTTATTTAAAAATATATATAAGTTTATGCACTAAAATGAGTAATAAGAAAAAATTTAAACATATCTTATTTTTAATACATTATATTTCATACTAAGTACTACTCCGTATATTACTCCCTCTTTCTCTAAATTATTTACGCACTTTACTATTAAAAAATTGCGAGACCTTTTGTTTACTTGTATGTTTTCATTAACTATTTGATAAAATCAAATATTTTTTGTAACATCTTGTTTTTGGAAAACTTTTTATGTGCTTTTTAAATAAGTTATTTTTATTTTTTATTTAAATATCAATCTTAAAATAAAATGGATTGAAAAAAGTGGTATTTTATTTCATTTTGTGTAAAATGTAAATCATTTAGGGGCAAAAGGATTACATGATTTTTAAAAACTCTTGAGTTAGCGAGTCGGATAGGTAGGTTCAGGTTCTGTCGGGTTTGACGCATTTTTAGCAAGTTGTTACAGGTTCGGTCAACAAAACCTGTATTTAAAATCCAGTAATTTCGAGTCACGTCTTACGTGAAAACAAGTTAAATCCATTTTTGTCAAATCTAATCATTTCCAATCCATTATATCAAAATCAAACATAAAATAAAGTATAAACCCAAAATGTAGCAATTCATGTCCAATCTACTACACTCACAATATATTTCCTTTTCATCAAATCCCATGGATAATCCTTAGTCACTCATATTTCAAATGAGTAGATCAAATTTGTGTTTCAAGAGGATGAAGGAAGAGTAGAAAAAACATTTTGCGTTTCAAAATACATCACGGTTGGATGAAACTCTACAGCAAAAACCCAAGATTTGTCCCCCCTAACAAAGACCCAAACATTTTTTTTCTCATTTCTGATCTTTGTCCCCCCTAAACTGGGTGTTTCGTTGATTACCAAAACAAGAGAGAAATTACAACATAAGAATCCATTCATCCCTAGCAAATGATCAGTTATATGCCAGAAGTTCCCCTCCCAAGAGTGAGCTCCAGGTAATCCAACCCTACCTCATGAATTCTCTCCCCCTCCCAAGCTTTCACCGCGACATTGTTCTCAAACCCGAACTCCACACCTTTACCCTTATGATCCGACATTATTGGATCATCGAGCCGAGCTCTGTGATGGGGATTGTTGGGGTTCATAAGATTGAAAGTCGGAGATGGCGGGCGCATGTTGTTAAGCCCAAATTTCTGGAAGCGCGTCCACTGGCCCGAATCGGTGGTGGATGCATCGGACTCATCACATTCAGGAATGGTGGCAGGGAATCTCCGGCGACCGCGGGTTGGGCTGGATGGGGCAGAGGCAAAGAGTGGGATGTTGTTGAGGGCTGAAATGGACTCCATGTTGAAGGGCAGTTTGGGAGCTCTGGTTGGGGAAGAGATGGGTGGGGTCACGGGGGCGCTGTTTGATATCCTCAGAGGAGGGAGCAAAGAAGATGGGATGGAATTGTGGAGGAAGGCGAACGGATGGGATGACATCATTGGTTCGCCGCCACGGGTTGGGCTCGGGCACGAGGAGGATAATGGGCTGGGTTGGTACGAAGGGACCGGGCTGGCGAAATAGGACGATGGGGGGCTAGGGTTTCCAGAAGAAGTTGGTGTGATGTTGGCTGATGTTCCTCCAATCTCCATTGGTGTTGGCCTGAATCCCTGATGAACACATTCAATTAACTATTATGCCTCAGAAATTATGCACATAGTAGTACTAATCACAGAACTCCAGAAAGAAAACAAGTTCAAATTTGTGAGAAAGAGAGAGAGATCTGGAGAAGATGAAATGTTAATCAGAGAACATAAGTTCAGAAGAATAAAAGGAATTTGCAGGAAACCTGAAAACAGCAAAGTACAGAGATAGTTCAATCTAGCTCAGGCTTGAACGATTACCGAATTAGGCAAGAACAGTTATAGAAATTGAGTCTTAATTTCATTAAATAAACACTCAGCTAATCTGGCTAATCAATTAAGTTGAGAAGAACATGATCGAAACAATCCAGGTCAATTCGATGATGAACGAAACAGAACCATGAACTCAAACATAAAATGTCCAGATCTACATAGCCGAAGCTGAATTACAGGAAGAAGGGATGGGAATTGAGTAAGAAGAAGAGGAAGAAGGACCTTGCGAAAAGTGGTGCCGTCGGGTTGGACGATCCAGCCGGCCTCAGAGCAGAGAGCCTTGAGAACCTCATTGTTGTCACAGTGCTTGGGGAGATCGTAGTTTCCCTGAGCTCTCAGTCCGGCGAATATCTTGGCGGCAATTGCTCTCCTCCTCCTTTCTCTCCTCCGGTTGTTTTCTCTCTCCCTCCACGACGGCTTCCTCCTCCCATTTCCTCCGCCGTCAGCGACGCCGTTGGCGGCAGATCCTCCGCCTTCCCACATCATCGTCTCCCCTCTCTCTCTCTCGATGAGGGTAGCGGATTTTGCGGGGTGCAGGGTGAGGAATTTGTCACGAGAAATGCGCTCCCTGCGGACACTATTAGTAGGGTTGTCTATGAAATCCTACCTTTATCGTACTCCCCAATTTAAAAAAGAGTAATTTACCTAAATAGGACTAAAACATAATGACTTTCCGAAAATAAGACCATATCTTTTTATTTCCGAATGTAGGACCTTTGGTCATTATTCTTTAGTCATTATTCAAGTAATGTCTATCATTGCTGGGCATTATTCCTTCCACGAAGGCATTATTAAGTCCTATTTAGAGAATAAAAAAGTTTAAGTCCTAGATTAGGAAAGTCATTATGTTTTAGTCCTATTTAGTGCAAATTTCACCAAAAAAAGAAGAAAAACATGTTTGTATTTAGAAAGCTCTTGTATTTATTTTATCTAAAGATTTTATCCCAAATCAAAGGTTTACATTAATATAAAAGATTAGTGTGATTGTAAAAATTTGTAGTGACATTTTGTGTCTATGCAGATAATAAATCTCGTATTTACATTGATACAAATTATAAGTGTAAATCTTTAAAGTGTATTTTAGATACAATTTTTGAGATATAAGTAGATTTATTTATAAAAAAAGGATTGATCCTTATTTGGATGGGTCTTTGGAATCAATCGGACAGTCACTTGAGAGCAGATTAAGTAAGTTTTAATCACAAATTCTTCCCCTAGCACTTAAGAAGGTTTTTTTCTTAAAATTGTTGTCATCTAACTCAATTGTCAAGAATCGAGCTTGGCTATTAGTTTTTTACCTTTTGTGCACCTCTTTTCGTGCCACTACTATACCACCGCGAGTATCAAGTATGAATAAAGTATAAGCATGGAAATATTTTAGCTCATATCGATATAGCATCAAATAATTTGATTTGATTATGAATTTTATGTTGTTCTATGCCAATATTGATCATCATTTTTGGTACTAAACGACATCAATACATATATACCAACTTTACATTTAAAATACTCCGCATATATAATAAAACTCTTTTATGCTCCTTATATTTTTAAAAAAATCAAAAGTGTAATTTCTTTTGGAAAGAAAAAATACAATTGAATAAAGTAACATAAATGTTCTATCAGTCCTATGTGTTCATATATGTTCAGTTTGGTATTTTTGGTACACAAACTCTCAAATACTCCATCAGCCATTTTCTTCTGTTTGTTTTGATTTCTTGCGATATATTTTTTTTCAATAATTTTTTTGGTTATATTTTTGTAATTAAAACGCGTGAGAGTGGGCGGTACACTGACGTAGGGGATATCACTGAGAATCGAATCTCAGTCAACAAAAAAAAAAGTACTCCCTCCGTCCCTTCATGTTTGTCCACTTTGGAATGGACACAAATACCAAGGCATGTGGGGACAAGGAAGAAGATTACATTTATACCCTTACTTTTGCTACTTTTGGAGATGGAGTACATGTGACGGCAGAAAAGAAAAAAGAGAAAGAACTTTTAAAAAGCAAAACTTTAAAGCCCATAACTTAATTATTACACCATCAAATCATTACTTTTCCGAATCTAGAATAATCTCATTCACCTCCTCATCGCAATCCTCTTCTTCGGAATCTGGAACAATCAGATCTCTGTCACCATCCTCTAGATGATTTTCGCAGGTAGGAAATTCACCCTCCCCGGCGAAGGGTGACTCATCTGCTTTGAAGACCGTGGTTGCACCATCCATGCAGAGGCTTTTCTTCTCAAATTGTGTTTTGGGAATGAAGAAGGCAGATTCCTAATCGGAAGACATGTCAGGTCCACTCATATCAAAATCTAAGGTTTCTGAGAAGAAAAGATATGTGAGGAAGATTGAGAAGGTGATTAGATCAGAGCTGTAGAGGAGGAAGGGTGAGAAGGTGAAAAATAGGCGATGAGACGAAGATGAGTGAGAAGAAATCGGCGATGGAGATGAACAGGAGTGAGAAGCAATCGGTGGAGGCGATGAAAAAGAGAGATGAGATGAGAGAAGATGAAAAGGATTAATTTTGGGTGGATGGAACGGGTGAGTGAGTGGGTGGGGAATTGATTGTAGTGGATGGAGTGAGAAAGGGTAAAGATGGAAAGTTGTAAATTAAATATTGCCAAATTAGAAAAGTGGACAAATATGAAGGGACAACCAAAAATGGAATACTGGACAAATACAGAGGGACGGAAGGAGTACAAGAAATGAGAGAAATGGGAAAATAGCAATAAAAGTACTTTTGGATCAAAATTTGCGGCCTCTATTATTGCGTGGGTCAACCGTCCACTAATTTTCGAACACGTTCGTGAGTGGGCCCGGCCCAACTGAAGACGCGCTGCTGCCCGTATCGCATTAACATTGAGAATTTATTGTTTGTGTCTACTACTATTATGCACTTATGTTTCCTAGGGGTGTAAACGAACCGAATCGAAGCGAATACCGATATATTTGAATTTGTATTTGTTTAAGTTTTTCGAATACGAATCCGAATCCGAATATGAGACGAATTCAAAATAAGATTTGAATAAGTATTTGATTAATATTCAAGTAGGTATCGAATCATAAACGAATATTTGAATAATCATACTATGTAATTTATATGATGGACCAACATCAATTTGTAATTTAACTTACGATACTCTTTATACTATACGTAGTACTATATTCCGTATATAAAAATATTAATACATTTGCATCTTACACAAATTATATTTTATAAAATATAACTATTAAAAATCATATTCTTTAGATTTTCGTGTGACGTTAATTTATTGAATTTTTAGTATTTTAAATACACTTTATACTATATTACTTTGCTTGACTTTTGATGTTGAAAACATGGTCTGTGTATATATACATATATTCGAATATTTGAATATCATCTGAATCGAATATATCCCTATTTGTATTTGTATTTGATTAATATTCGAATCAAAAATAATACTCCGTATTTGAATTTGAATTTGTATTTGAATAACGCGAATTCGAATCATCATATTCGAATACAAATTGCGAATCGAATTTAAAATATTTGATTTGTTTACATCCCTAATTATTGCTTCCCCCATACAAATAAAAAATATGGAAAATAAATATCAATGTTTTTTTGGCCTTCAAATTTTATTTCTGAAATGTCTATGGTTTCAAAATGTTACATCTTTTCTTAATATTTTCTGTTCATTTTTTTCGACAAGAGAAAGCATTGATGCCTAATTTTTAGATCACAAGGGCAGCGGATCCAAATACTTATTTTCCGTTCATTTTCTTAAAGTTACTCTATATAATGTTTTTAAAATTTAAAATTTCTTTGTGTTTGAATTAACAAACAAATGAACATATATTTCGTCTGTAGGAGTATTAACTAAAATATTTTCATTTTATCAAACAATTGATAAGAGCATACAAAGTATAAATATACAAAAGTTAACAAGACATGTTTCAAAAAAAAATTAACAAAGCAGAATGATTCATATAGAGAGTCAATGGAAGTTATAAGAATAAACATCTCTAGAGTCTCACCAAACAATGCTTGGAGAACTACAACATCAAAAACAACAAGTCCAGTAAAATCTAGGAAAATCTACCCAAAAAGTAAGACCTAGGATGAGTGTGTTAAAAACAACAATAAAATCCACCCAAGAACAAACCCATGTTCTACTTCCATGTAGGGGCAAGGTCTACGTACACCTACCCTCCACACCTACCCTTCTTTCGCAGGACTACACTGGATTGTTGTTGTTGTTCTATATTGCTTGTGCAGAAGGTGGAGTTAAGCAAGCTTAAGATGACTACACTATGGAGATACCAGCAACACTTCACTTTAATCTTGTGAGTTCATTCATTACTACTATCAAACGTTTGGATGCCAATATAATGTATTTGGTTGGTTCACTCGTTGGAGAACCGGCGGCAAGAATTAGGAAATTGATGTGGGTACAAAGTTTGTCTGTTACGCCGTTTCGAAGCAAGGGTAGTCCAACCTAGTTACCCAACCTCTCCGGGAGTACTATAATTTTTGTATGTTTTATACTCCGATCATTATATATAAAAATATGTTAATCATATTATTCAAAACAAAAATTATAGCACGCTCATCTCCTCCGTCGTGGTGTAGAACGTGCTATAATATTTATTAATAATGTATTTAGCATAAAATTATTTTTTTATAATTCTGTATTTGGCATAAACATACAAAAATTATAGTACTACCGGAGAGGTTAAATAACTTGGTTGGGTAGCCCTTGCTCCTAAATGGCGTAACCGACAAACTTTATACCCACATCAATCCCTATAACCCTATCAAAAGGCAAATTTCATGAGAGACATAATGTGGATCTCTCTCATTTCTCCATTGATAAGAAATATTTGGAAGCTTGAAAAAGAAGGGGTTCATTACCCCAAGAAGTCCATCCAGCTAATAGTTCTCTAGAGAACAATTCGATGCAACGGACATGCTTCGTTCCTGCCACATACTCCACCAGCAACTCTAATGCAGAAATAAATTCAAGAAATGCAATCAAACTGCAGTTTAAGAAAACCAATGAGCCCTAATGGAAATTCAAACATGCCAGATACATCACTCAGTACAACCTTGAGCAAACCTTGCTTTCACATATAAGAATCAGTTTTCTAGCACATTTCATAAAAACCCATCTCAACGGAGCTCTTTTTACATTTTTCTTCTTCTTCTCTTTTATTCGTGTGGTTTTAAAAGCTCTCTAGAAATTATGATTCTATGTTGTCTTTTTTGGGCATATGTCGAGCATTATATTATCATTTTAATTATCCTGGTTCTATGAAGACATTAGCTATTTGCACTAATTATATTATCATGCCAATTATGGGCTCATTCGGTCTTGTTTCTTTTAGCTGATTCTATGATTCTAATTTTCAGAAGAATGGAGTGTTTTCAGATGCAATGGAAATGATCTTATCTGCTTATCAGTAAATTCATCTCTTTTCTAAATTAGGAATTAGAATAACAATCTGGACAAAATTTTAATGATCTAATTCACACCTAGGATATCCCTCAGTTTTCATTAACATCCCTGTAATTGCTGACAATTCATACCTCCGATTGGGGGCTTCCTTGAATAATCTCCTGGAACACTCATGAAGACAAGATTATTAGGTATGTCATTCAATCTCAACAAATTAGATGCATTTTCCTGCAAAGACATGGTCAAAAGATGATATTAATATGTAAATGACAGCACCAAATATACATAGTCAAAAATTCTGCACTTGGAAGAAGCACACCTTCTCACCAGAGAAACCCAGAAGAAGGCATTCATATGGTCTGTGATGAAAGAGATCCAATTCACCTATCAATAACCCATCTGCCTTCACCTATAACATTCAACTACACTGAGTAATGGAAATATGTACATGATTCATCACTATAGGACTAAGGTTAAAGATGACCTTCAACCAATGAAAGCTGGCCATATATGTTACACCCCAGGCTGGAAATAATTCTTTCTCGACAAAACTCCGCAATTTCTCCCTGTTGGTGACCCATAAGGCTACCAAGGCCCCTGCAGAATGAGTAAGTTTCCTGATGGGAAGAGATAAGAAAGTCCGGTTGGGCAATGTTTTATATCTGCATTTTGAAGGAAGACAAATTAAAATTGAGCTTACTAATAGTAATATCCATGCAAATAACATGTAACCCAAATCATTATATGTTACAGTAACAACCCAGGAAATGATTTTCCTCATTGATGATTTATGAGAGTAAAGAGTTTGGAAAACACCCAATTGGTTGAGAATAAATGGAAGACAAATCATTTCTGCGTAAATAAAAAGCAGCACATGTATTTATTATCATGTATTTTATCGTCTATCAGGGTCCATCAATTTTGCTCATAATCCTTCATTCAAAGAAAATAAACAGCTAGTGACTTATACAATGCTATCTTTAAGGCATAAAGGAACCTTTATTAGCAGAAATCTACACAGAAATATCGACAAAATTGACTAATGCATACCTCCGTTTCTGATGGGCACTGCTGTTTTCCCAAGGTGGGTCAATGACTATAATATTAAATCCACACTCTGAATCAGCTGCAAGGAGACAAGTGAAAGTTTAATAAAGACAAAAAAATGGTGTTAAAAGCTGTATAATTAATTGAACAGTCTCCAGCTTAATTGGAGAAATACAATAAAAGACAACGGCATGCTTTTCAGGGCAGACCAAATTAAGCCAGCTACAAGCTATTGATTTCTGTAAACGTATCTAACATTATAGAAAGATGTAGTGTTGGAAATTACCAGGGACCAAGTTGTGAATTTTCTGCACATCAGACTGCCAATCCAACAGGGGAAATAGAGTAAATGATTAAAAATCACAAAATTACTCCACCATTGGTCCTTCAACTTTATTAATTGTGCACGATTGGTCCTTCAAGTTTTAAAAGTTCATAAATAGTCCTTCAACTTTATGAGTTATGCACGATTGGTCCTTCAAGTTTTAAAAGTACATAAATAGTCCTTCAAGTACACGTCAGCCCTCCAAATGAGATCCTTTTGACAGTAAATGTTAAAAGCTAAATGGAATATTGGCTCCATATAATACAGAGTAGTCGTACCTAGTGGAATTTACTCGTATTATATGAAACTAGTATTTCGTTTAACTTTTAATATTTACGGTCGAAAGGACTTCATATGGAGGGCTGACGTGTACCTGAAGGACTACTTATGGACTTTTGAAACTTGAAGGACCAATGGTGCAGAACTCATAAAGTTGAAGGACTATTTATGGACTTTTGAAACTTGAAGGACCAATCGTGCACAACTGATAAAGTTGAAGGACCAATGGTGGATTTTAGTCGACAAAACTATATTAAAAAGGCCACGGTGACACTCCAAGAGCTAATTCAGGATTACATAGGATTTTGTTAGGATGGAAGGATACATACTAGCAACTTCAGGAAATGGAGTTGCGTTAGCCGTTAGGTAACATTCTTTGCCAGCAAATGTTTAATATCTTATTATCTTACAACCGATGATCGTTTACCATGTAGAAACAACTCTCTTTGGGAATAATATAATTCTGGTTCAAAAATTCAGCCTCTACATCACCACTTCCTTTATTCACAATGAGATTATCAAAGACTGGGAGCACATCTTGCTTGAGATGTTGACCACGTGGAGATCCTGTTAAACCAAGCAGCAAAGTTATTTTTTTTTCAGAAAACGTTGTGCTTTTAGGAAATCAACCATGTGCGGATAGAAACTTCAATACGACCACTCGATAAGCTGATTGGAAATCAAGCTCTTTTGCAATCTAAAACAGCAAACATTATATGAAACCCACCCAATAATTTGCCTAGCCTTTTAGTTCTTCTGATATGTTCATATGTTCATTCGATTCCCAAACAGAGCCCATGAAAATCTAGAATGTTTTCTACCTAAAACTCAAAGCTTGGCAGTGAAGTGCATAGTTTCCTACTAATTTTCAGTTAATTAAACTATTAAAGTAATATGATATGCTATGTCCTTGAAATTCTCAAAAAACCACCATAAGAACATATGATTGGCATCAAACAAACCTGTATTTTCAATAAAGGCATCGCCTTCCTGATAATTTAGAACAATTTCATACAGCGGAGCTTGCCAAACACATCCAATATCTGCAAATGAAAGCTCACAGCTCTGCTGAGTCAATTCTCTACGTTCCTCATCAGAGAATTCACCAGGCCTCAAATTTCTCACAAATTTCAAGAGCTCAGTGGCTCCAAGCAAAGCTTCATGCGCTTTCAACAAAAACGGCCTCACCTCCTTCAACAATGAGACGCAATTAGACAAATACGAGCACAAATAAAATCAAAGATGACTCTGTAAATCACAATCACCATTACCTGGTGCCTTTGATCGGCGACTTTCTCCCGTGCGTTTAGGGAGATTGGCTTCTTCTCTTTGCGCTTCCGCTTTCTCGATTCTGCGGGAGCCTCGAGCTTCTCAGAGAAGTCGAAGAAACGAGAGTAATAAGCAGACGGTGAAACCTTATGCCTCGTATAAGACCGGTTTAAGATACGAACCGGATCGATGAAGAGGGCATTGGCGCCACGAAACCGGTAGATGCCGGATTTCATGAACGACGATAGCTGGCCGTCCTTCATGTCCGAACACCGCCGATTCGCGTTGGCCGGCGAGTGCGACCCATTAAAAATCACACTCCATTGGTATGGGGTTTGGGGGCCTGCCACGCAGTATACCCCCTACCCCACGTCTCTTTGTTTTTTTGACCATCCCTTTAAAATCAAAAAGTCTATCATTTCCTCTCAAACTTTTCAAAAATTGCACAATTTACCTTTAAAAATCAAAAAATACATCAAATATCTCTAAACAAGTAAAATGTTGCATCGTTGGTCGTAAAATGCTAGATAGAGAGTGTGTTGCTCCCACAGTCCCACGCATGAGAATTGCGAGTATGATTCATCTGTCCATGTCAATTATCCAAAGTACCCCCCTAAAATTATCACTTTTATGTAAATTTTCAGAATTAAACCATGCAATTTCTGAAGAGTTCAGGGGTATTTTATGCACATTTTAATGTTCAGGGATAAACTGTTTAATTTCTGAAGAATTCGAGATTAAATGGTGCATTTTTCTAAAAAAATACATTTCTTACTTTTTATAATGTTATTGACTTGATTATAATCTGATATTTGTTTATGCTTTTCACAAAATATTATCATTACAATTCTTCAACCAATTCAATTTCATTATTTTTATTCAACTTCTCAAATAAGAAAACTTACTCTATTTATTTGTTTATTAACAATTTAACATGGACTCTTTCTCATCGATCTTCTCACAAAGTCTATCAATTTTTTTTGGTGACGCAAATGCTGAAAATTTTACTAGCGCAATGAGAAAACGCACAGACATCAATGTCATAGAGAAGACAATCATTGTTAAACCCAGATGGAGAGTGATGGATATAATCCACTAGCACCAACCCCGGTATACTGACCGGGTGGATGTGCAGGTCATGACATGTGAGATCGTGACTTCATTCGCAGAGAAGGCTGGGAGACCACCCGGGTGGATGACCTGAAAACTGCCCGGGGTGGATGGCTGGAAGACCACCCGGGGTGGATGACCTGAAGACTGCCCAGGGTGGATGGCTGGAAGACCACCCGGGTGGATGACCTGAAGCCTACCCGGGGTGGTTGACCTGAAGCCTACCCGGGTGGATGACCGGCCGGAAGAACAGTAACGTCGGGACGTGCTTGACATGCTTGTTTTTATTATAAATACCCCTAAAAGTCTCATTTGTGAGGCATGTTTTGAATAAACCTGCACGGCTTGTACTTTGTAATAGTCTTAGTATTATTATCAATATCAAACCGGGTTACAGGGGTTTCCACCTACAGCCCTTCCGATCACTTTTACTTAGTATTTGCGTGGTAATTTACACCATCAAATTGGCGCCATCCGTGGGACCTTTTTACAAAAAGAAGCCATGACGAACAACAATATGGAATTCATCATTTCCCAAGCTTCCACCCCAGCGGAGTGTGTTACCCTGATCCCGGGAGGAATCACATCATTACCTTCTCTTTTCTCCCCCATGATCACCACCTTCACTACTCAAACAACACCGAACCAGGCCCTCCAAAACTTTGGACAATTTATGCCCATTTTCCAACAACCCGGGGGATTTACTCTTTTCATCCCTGGGATGTATCCCCGTGCTTTGGCTCAAAATACATCTCTTCCTAACACGTTGGGGCATCTCCCGTCATTTCAACCGGCCAGTACCACCCGGCCAGTCATCCCGACAAAACCACCAGGGGAGCTGGAAAGGGCAGGCCCTTCTCAGTCTAGGATGAGCAGATCCCACAAGCTCCACACTCAGGTCACACCCGACGGGGGCGTGCGCTCTGTGCGCAGCAGGGATGAAGACTCGGATATTCCCAAGGGCCAGAAAAAGCTGCAGGGCAAAGCCGTCCAGCCGGAAGGTTCACGACGGTCAGCGTTCCAGAGGTTGGGACATGAGGGGCGGAACCAGAACCGACCGGCCAAGGAGCGGTTGGGGGTGAAGGTTCCCAAGCCAGGCAAATTCTACAGACTAGAAGGTGGTAGGCGACCCGGTCAGACCGGGCGCTTTGACCCTTGCCTCCGTAATGAGCCCCAACACAGCAGGGTGCCTAGAGCGGAGGACCAGCCAAAAAGCCAGCCCAGAGTGGCGATGCGCACGCATGCTGAACCACCCAGCAACCAGGTGGACAGAGCAGAAGAACGTTTGGAGAGGCTCTTGAAAAGAGTTCGTAGGGAGAAAAAGAAGAAAGTAGTGTTGAACAACCGTTTTATCATCCGCTAAGACCGGATATGTACCATGCCAATGTCCAATAAAGTGATACTTTTTCAGAAAAGATGGTAAGACTGGTCGGGGAAGGTTGCAGACCCATCTGCCCGGTCAGTGTTCAATCGAATTGAACATCACAAAGCCACCCGGGTTTAACACCATACTTTTTCAGAAAAGATGGTAAGACTAGTCGGGGAAGGTTGCAGACCCATCTACCCGGCCAGTGTTCAATCAAATTGAACTTTAAAAAAAAAAGATAAAAGTATGTGACACAGGCCCGGCCTGGTACGCTGGTCTCACACCAGTCTTGCACATATTTAAAAAAAAACTGCGACCCAGTCGAACTGGTACACTGGTCTCACACCGGTCTTGTGCAGTATAAATAAAAAAAATAAAGAAAATATGTGACCCAGTCGAACTGGTACACTGGTCTCACACCAGTATTGCACATATTTTCCAACAAGCCTGAGCCCAATCGAATTGGGTACATCGGTTTCAGCAAAAAAAAAGAGCCCGGTCGGACTGGGAACATCGGGCCTACCCCGATCTTCGATATCTTTCCTTAAACAATTTTTCACCTGGACAAGGTCATGGTGAACCAACCTACCCAAGATAAATAAAAAAAAAAGAAAACTGCCCACCCGATCAAGACTCAGACTCGGGTGAGGGACAGGGTCACGATGGATTCACTTAACTTGGCTCGGAGGACTTTTTCAAGAATATGTTCTCCTATTGGCATGGCCGAGGCCATAAAAGGAAAGAATTGATTGCGTTGCTCACTCGGAGGACTAGAGCTCTTGTTCACCCAGGTGAAAGGAGAAATGACTCACATGATCAACTTTGAAGCATAGCCCGGGCATGCTCTATCAAAACCCACCCGGGTGGATTATTTTCTACTCGAGTAGAAACAATAGTGAGATGCATTAGACCGGGTAGATACAGCTCGGCCGTGACGAAAGAGATTGAGAGTTGGAACGACCGGGTCAAAATCCCGCACCCGGTTGCTCAAGATCCCATACAGGCATGGAACTCACCGGTCCCAAATCCAAAGATCCCAATGTCACCAATCAGTTGCTGGGACACTTGGAAGAACCGGATGCCAACCTCCCGGTCAGAAAGTGCCTGGACAACGAACTTCTATGGATTCTACGCAGCCCAAGTAGTGGCGTGAATAGCCCGGTCGGAGCGCTCCCTCTCCAGGAAGAGGAAACGACGCAATGACTAGGCGGAGGCGTACCAAATTTCCAGAAAACTTTCGCGCCAACCATACCCGAGGATTCAAAAAATTCAAAATTATTCAGACACTTGATTCCCGCCCTTGATGGTGCCCACAAAGACGAGAATCGGAGGACTCCTTGATGAATATAATCCACTAGCACCAACCCCGGTATACTGACCGGGTGGATGTGCAGGTCATGACATGTGAGATCGTGACTTCATTCGCAGAGAAGGCTGGGAGACCACCCGGGTGGATGACTTGAAGACTGCCCGGGGTGGATGGCTGGAAGACCACCCGGGGTGGATGACCTGAAGACTGCCCAGGGTGGATGGCTGGAAGACCACCCGGGTGGATGACCTGAAGCCTACCCGGGGTGGTTGACCTGAAGCCTACCCGGGTGGATGACCGGCCGGAAGAACAGTAACGTCGGGACGTGCTTGACATGCTTGTTTTTATTATAAATACCCCTAAAAGCCTCATTTGTGAGGCATGTTTTGAATAAACCTGCACGGTTTGTACTTTGTAATCGTCTTAGTATTATTATCAATATCAAACCGGGTTACAGGTGTTTCCACCTACAGCCCTTCCGATCACTTTTACTTAGTATTTGCGTGGTAATTTACACCATCAGAGAGCATAAAATTTTGTTATTCAATCTTAAAATATTTATTTAGAGTGGATTTTTTTACTCCCTCCGTTTGGAAAAACCCTTCCCATTTGATTTGGGGGCAAAAATAAGGAAGTGTTAAATTATAGTTGATTTCTAATTTTGCTCCTGATGTGATGGGTAAAAGTAAGATGTGATAGATAGATTATTAGAAAAAAAGTATGATGTGATAGGTAGGGTATGAAAAAGTAAGGGTAAAAGTGGTTTTTTAATAGAAAGGGGAAATGTTTTGTTGGAAGTGGAAAAAATAAAAGAAGAAATGTTTTTGAGAACAGAGGAGTATATTTTATGTCATTTTTATTTTTTTTATTCAAAACTAATTATTTGCAAATGCTCATGATAGGTTGGTTTCCGGCTACTTTGCAAATCACCTTTAGTACACTGACGAAGAATTTAGGCGCCGCTTTCATATGAGCTATTGGTTATTTTTTCATATTACCAAATATTTGGCAAATAAAAACTTGATTTTCATATTATAGTCAGATGCTAGGGGTCGGGGTGGGGGGTTTACCAGGGGGGTTAGGGGGGGTAGGAACCGTCAATTTTACGAACGGGGCACCGGAGTGGCCCCGGGTCATCCTATGACATTAAGGTTCAATGTCATTTGAACCTTGGTGCAGATGCTATAATGAATAATGGTTTTACAACCTTACAGAAAATACTCATTGGTGCTAAGACAACTAGCATCTCGCACTAAAATTGAGTAGGCCCCAACTAAAATATGTTTTCATTGAGGTGATTCGTTATGTGAGACGATGGAATATTGACATTCCAATGTGAAAATGCGAGAGACTCACGTTGGTAGGGGAGCATGGGAATATGTAGACCTTTTAAGAGTTGGAAGGAGATGAATAAAGAGGACTTTAAACTTCTTGTCCTCATTAGGAATGTGACATTAGATAGGAGCGTTTAGATAGGATTTGAGTGGTTGAATTGGTGCTTTGAGGTAGATCGTGTTGTTCTTGTGTGCATTGTAGGCATATGTTTGGTGTTATTTTACTATCTGCTTGCAATACTCTCGTTTTGTAACTTTAGTTTATTTAATAGTGAATTTTCAAAACGGTCTTTTTAATAAGTTATTTTTCCAAATCACTCTTCAATAAGTAATACGTAGTAGTTACTAATTCAATATGGTATTTTATAATTTAAATTTATTTCTCAAACAGTCTACTATTAAAAATATTTTTTGTTTAGAAGTTAAATGAAAGTTATTCGGTATTTTTTGTCATTTAAATTTAGAGTATGTTTTCAAAATGCTTCTTAATAGTTAAGTATTTTTTCAAAATGATAATTTCTAAAAAACTCCTTTTTTTCAAATGGAGCAATGAGCCGACTTAGGGTGAGTCAGTTACTCTAGCAACCACCCACTTAATATGAAAAGGTCATTTTGAGATCTTATTCATAATTTAGATATTCCTTCCGTCCCTGAGTATTTGTCCACTTTCATTTTTGTACATCATCTAATGCACTTCTTTAATCCATTTTATCTTTTAATTTGTATATTAAAAAATTATAAAAATTATATATTAATAATCTATATGTTAAGACGAATCGAACAAGATCACACATGACTATTTTTAGACTTACACATTGAGAGAATTTGATAAGTCAAAGTGCTTAGATGAACATGTCCAAAAGTCAAAAGTGGACAAACACTCAGGGACGGACCAAGTAATATACAATATAAAAATACCTTCAATTTAACTTTCATTTAATTGACATTTTCAGAGTGAACTATCTAGCGAAAATATCTAAATTATGAAAAATAATGTTAATAATTATTGTTAATTGAATACTAATTTAGAAAAACGTATTATTCAAAAAGACTAGTTTGGAAATTCATTCTTTATCTAATTTAGTTTTAGTGTTGTGCGCTTGGTGCCTTATTTTGCATTGAATATGTGTTTTCCTTGCTCTATGTATTTACGGTGTAATTTAAAAACATAAATACTCCGTAACAAGTTTGTATAGTTTGTATCCAAGTTATTAAAACTCTAGCATTATTTTAATTTTTTTGACATTCAATGGCGCCTTTAAAAAAATTTAAGTGCTGGCTCTGGACCTTTAACTATGTATACTTCTAACTATCTGAATTCCTAGACTCACCATAGACACTGCACCCGTTTGACATCGCTGTTACAAGATTTGCATTAAAGTATTGGAAAATTTTTTTGACGATGCCCTTTAGTATTATCAATTTCTAAAAATTATCATTAAAATTTTACTTAAAACACACCCGATAATCGAAAATATTATTAGTATAAAAAAAAAAGTTGAGTAACACTAACCAAAACATTTGTTTCCAAACAAGTCCGATATTTACTCCTAAAGTCCTACCGTGCATAAATAATGGACTGGATTTCACCTCCACTTTTATTTTGAAGTTCAAATTCAACAAAAGGAGAAGAAAAAAAAGCCCCAAAACTGACTTGATAATTATGGAAAAATATTTGCCATCATCCGACTGCGGGACCCGCTGGCAGGTAGAGCACATGGTCCTCCCCCTTCGGGGGTCCCCACGCCCAGCGTATTCCCCGCTTTCGTGACAGTTTTCTCATTTTTCGTAACGTATGTGTCTTTTTACGTTTCTGCCCTTCCCCCCCCTCCGATACCCCGTGCCCTTTCAAAAAATTAGCGCGGCAGGGTCAGTTCCGTCATTTCGCCTCACCCACTCGGGTTCTCGGGCACTCGGTCCGACCCGTGCTCCGGAAAACGGGCATCTTCGCCATGCCCGAGAAGCATGCCCCAACTGTAACGCACGATCTACGTGCCCGTCCGCCACGTGTCGGGACCGGATTGGCCCACTTTTCCCCCTCGGGATTCGTGTCCCGTCTGCAGTGAGAAAAAAAAAACATTTCGAAGAAGAGGAGAAAAAGAAGGCCGAGAAAAGCACACTCTTTCTCACTCTACTCCACTGTCTCTCTCTCTTCGGTCGTGCTTTCTCTCTCTAGAATTTCCCACTTCAATCCCGCAATTTCCTCCCCGGAACCGCCACTTCCGACGCCAGCAATGCGCGATCTGTTCGGGGTTTCGGGCTGAATCGCTGAGTTCGGGTGAGTTGACTCGCTGAGTCGGACGGAGGAAAGATGATGCACGAAGCGGTGGAGAGCAGCACCGTGCACGGCGTCGGAGGATTCTCGCAGTTGCAGAGCTGCGGGGAGAGCAGCGAGGAGGAGCTGTCGGTGTTGCCACGCCACACCAAGGTGGTCGTCACCGGAAACAACCGCACGAAGTCCGTGCTTGTGGGGCTTCAGGGCGTCGTCAAGAAAGCCGTCGGTCTAGGAGGCTGGCATTGGCTGGTGATTCATTAAATCTCAAATTTTGAATCTTTTTTGTGTTTTGGATAAGTGTGGGTTTTATTAATTGGCATTTATTTTTGGCATTTCTGCTGTTAATTCGGTCTTTAATTCTGTTTCTACTTTCTTTTTTTACTTTGGAATTTAAATGAAAGGGTATGGAAAAGGGGTCAAAAGATAAGGGTTTTCTTTTTCGTAATGCGCTTTTTTTTTTCTTTCTGAAATCGCCCTTTTTTCTAATTCCCTTTTTCTGGAATGGTTCTTTGAATATTGTAATCTCTCAATTTTGCTTTTAGCGAATTAGTGGGTTTAATGCTGGAAAAAGATTGATTGATTGATTAAGGGTTCTTATAATTTGTGGAAACGAATGAAATTATTTGTATTGATTAAAAGCAGTAATTTTTCTACTAATGGTGCAATTGGGACCAATAATTTGTTTAGCCATTTTGAAAAGAATGTATGAGATATCCCAAATTTGGCTTTTGCCACACCCCCACCCAAATTTGCGCTTGAGTTTCTATTTCAATTGATTCTTGAACACCTATGACTCCAACTCATGCTTTAATTTCAAGAAATTTCCTATGATCAGAGCCTAATGTGCGTGGCAAACTGCCTAATTTTATGTTTACTGTTTGTTCATTAAAACTATAGGTGCTTACCAATGGAATAGAGGTAAAGCTGCAAAGAAATGCACTTAGTGTGCTTGAAGCTCCAACGGGCAATGAGGATGATGATGAGCTTGAGTTTGAAAATTTTCAGTGGAATGGTTCAGATCTGGGTGAGGGTTTTTTTTCTTTGCAATCAATTGAAGAAGAATGTACGGAGTAATTTAATTTATCCATATAAAATCTGATGTTGTGAGCTTTATTTTGAAGCTTCGGATGACACTCAAAAGTCGCATAGATCAAGGCATCGGATGCATAAGTTATCAGGATCAGCTCACAAGTCGATGAGCCGTACCCTCTCATTTGATATACAGTCCAAAGGATCATTTTCGACTTCTAGGAGATCCACGGTATGAGCTGTAAATTGTTGTAAAGAACAATGCTTTTTCTACTTAGGGTGCGTTTGGTTTAAGTGAAAAGAATTGAAATGCTCGCCATCTGTGGAGGGTGCAGAGCTTTCGTGCCCATTTGGAAACAGATTCGGCGTTTTTCGCTTTAACATTTTGAATAAACTCTCTAATGACAGCATTTAATTTTAACATTTTCAAAGTTAATCTGCACTTTTAAAAATTTATCCAATTTGCTACAGCTAATTGAAATTGATGTTCCTAAACAAGGCCTTACTTTTCCTTCCCCAACAATTACTTCCAACACACATTTGCATAACTATATTGCTTGTGCAGAAGGTGGACTTGAGCAAGCTTGAAATGACTACCCTATGGAGATACCAGCAACACTTCAATCTTGTGAGTTCATTCATTACTACTATCAAATGTTTGGATGCCAATATACTGTGTTTGGTTGGTTCTTTAGTATTTCTCTATGATTTTCTACTTCCTATTTAGGTGGATGTCAGGCCCAACCCATCAAAGGAACAATTAATTGATGTCGTCCAGAAGCATTTTATGTCTCAGGTTCTTGCTCATTTCCAGCTCCTATTTACACTTTCTTTACACCCAGTTTCGGTATTGTTTAGAGGCCAAAACAACACAGAATCTGCCAAATTTTCTTTATAAAAAAACGCGTTTTTAAATTGCTATATGCTTTTGAAATATTGTTTCGCTAACAATGCCCTCTTTGATTGTTAAGCAAATGGATGAAATGCAAGTGATTGTGGGATTTGTGAAGGCAGCCAAGCGGTTGAAGACCATTTGCAGATAAAAACGGAAGACAATGAATGGAAAAGCTCAAGCAAAGACAGTGTAATATTCCATTCTAACACTAACAAGAGAGTTTCAGAGACATTTGCTTAATATTCTATGGGTATTAGTATATATATTTATATACACTAAATGGCGACAGTTCCTCTCCTTCCTAATCTGCTTTGGGAGCGGTTGTAAGTTATAACTTTAGGTTTAGCAGAGAGGAACTTTGATGGGCTTGTAGTGACATTATAGTAGTAGTAGAAGAAGATGATGATATTATGTAGATATAACATTTGAGTCTGAACAAGAAAGAACGGAAGAGGGCAGAATGGGGGTATATATATATATATAGGAAGCGAATCGCAACGACTTCCAAAGCCTTGATCTGATGAAACTATGTATCATCACCTGCGGTTTGGAAGCGGCGTGGTGGGTTCAATTCAGATGTGTATAAAATCATTCCATCTTCAATTTTCTCTATGAAATCTTGTGGATTGTCAAGGTAAATAGTTTGGGACAATATGGGAGCTGTTTTATGGAAATGGATGCGAAAGAAAAATGCACAAGCGAAAGTGTTTGGGGTACACATTGTTTTTGTGTCACACTTTGCACACACCCCATCTTTGCTGTACATTTTCTTATGTTGTGAATGAAATTTGGAGAGTTGATAAGAAATGTACGGTATATGATTGGGTGTTGTGCAAAATATGGTATTCTCTTTGTCTCAATTTAAGTTTTTTGTTTATTTTTCACTGGGTCAAATTTTAATCAGGTCCTTTACCCATTTTCACTACTCGTTTGATAAGATAGTATGATTTTGTCATCTCTTTGTAGATATTTTGATGTATTTTCTAGATATTTTTTTTCAATCAAACTTTGTAAAGAGATGATTTAAATTGTGAGATAGGAAGTATTTCTACCGTCTCAATTTAAATTGCCTGTTTATTATTTAAAAAAATAAATTTTATTCACTTTCTCTATTTTCGTGAGACATTTGATAAAATAATATAATTATGTCACTAGTTTTGCAGATTTTTTGATCTAGTAGTTAAATGTATATTTTTTATTTTTTAATTCTGTATCATTTTTCATATAAAATAATTTGAAAATAATTCCAGTCAAATATCATAAACTGAAATTGGTAATATAAATTGGGACGAAGGAAGTATAAAATGTTGTATCCCTAGCATTAGAAAAAAAAAAGTTAGGATAATACTAGCACAGCCCTAGTATTCTTTGCACCGAACGACAATTTGGGTTTTTTTTGTAGATTTGAGGAAATTATTATAGCCATCTTGAAGAATAAAGTGAATTAAATCTACTTCAATACTCAACATTTGGTAAAAGTGAATAAAATCTACTTCTTTGCATTATTCTCACTATACGAATTAAGTTTTTTATAGTGTTTGGAAATTTGAATTTCGGTTTCAAATCTAAATTTGATCTAAATTGCTTGTTTGAAAACTCAAATATTTGGATTTGGACCAAATTCTTTCGATTTAAAATAAATTCAATTATAAATTCATCTTTCTCCCATGTCATTTTCAAATTCAAACTTTGCTTTAATCTAATACTCCCTCCGTCCCCAATTTGATTACAAATTGCGGGTTACGGAGTAAAATTTTCTATTTTTTGAAATTATTTTATTTACAAATTGGTATATCAATAAGATATAAAAATTACATATTAAAAAACTACGTGAAAAAATTCTACAAAACAAGAGGTGACAAGAATATTTTATTTTATCAATTTTTTAATGAAATCGCGTAAACAAACAAAAGTTATCGAGAGGAGAGAGAAAAAAAATTGTAATCTATTTAGGGACGGAGGGAGTATTTTATAACTTTTATTTAAAGAGTGATTACTCTTATTTAATGATAATTTCATACATATCAACCTGTTTTACCATTGTCTTTGTCGACTTCAAAACTCAATTTCTAGAATTGAAATTTTATAATTTCTCTAAGGATTTAAATTCAAGGATTTCTCTAAGTTATGTTATGAATGCGAAAAATTTGACTCAAATTCAAATTTAAAATTTTTAAGTTTTCCAAACATGAAATTTGAAACAAATTCAAATTTGAAATCCAAATTTATGTTCACAAACACTACCTAATAATGTATTTTGAATTGTGCTTTACGAATATTAAAATTGATCATAAAAAATGATCAGATTAAAGTCTTTAAATAGTAGTCGAAGTTCGAAAAGTATTATCCTTTACGCTATGAGTTGACGTACAAAATGGACACATAGTTTATGGGTAAGTTTGGGGTAGCCCATCTTGAACAATTCATGGGCCTTACACCTCATGAATTAAAATTGGGCTTCAATATGATTTTAATGTGGGTGGGTATATGTTTGTGAATGCTCATTTAAATGATGGGCCTCCTTGTAGAAATATTTGGAGTATATTTAACTTTAGTGTGTCATAGAGAAAAAATAAACTAGAATATGAATTAAAACCACATACTCCATCAGAATGCACAATAATACATTTGAATATACTTACATTGATTGCACTTTAGTAATTGTTTTAATTATGTACTTGTTATTTCTCTAAATAGTGCTAATTTTATTTAGTTTAGTCATTTTTTTGTGTTTTTTTACTCTACTAATAGTTCTAATAAAAAAATCCTCACTTTTTTTTTATAAAAAATGTTCAGTTTTGGTATGTTAGAGCTACTTCCAAATGGTCAGACTTCATAAAATATTTTACGTTGCAATGACTATCTGGTGTGAATTATATAAGCAAGTTGCATGTTCAATCAAGCCATGTGTAGGACGGACCATTCAATTAAGTATCTAGAACGAGTATAAAATTAGAAATTTGTTTTGTATGTATTAAATATATCATAGACTCTAGGATATATCTTAAATTTGTACTCGTTCTATCTCTGAGTATTTGTCCAATTTTGATTGTTTGCAATCAAAATTGACGAACTTTGATCATTAATTAACTAAAAATGATATTAAATAGTAATACAAAACTAATATCATCATAATTGTTTTATATAGTATTTTCAAAATATTATATTTTATCTAATTAGTATACTTTTTAAATTTTATTTAATTACAATTCATAAGTCAAAATCATTGAGTACAGAGAATCAAAACTGAACAAATATTTGAGAGAGATATATTAGAACTTATAGAATATTTTTCTCTGATTAAATTCTTATACTCAATACTTATGCATCAATAGAATATTTACTATTTTATGGCCCAAAAATTTTAAGGGCGTGTTTGGTTTGCACTAATCAAGATCATACTCTTGCAATTAATGATAATATTTTTAATACTCCCTATAGAATATTTTATGCCATATTGTTATCTTCAAATATATGAAATCATTGTAGGCTTTTTAGCCATGCTTAAGCTTTGGATTACCCAAGTAAAAAGTACAAATGCTGCTTTTCATTCAATTTATTGTTTATTTTTATTAATCAAATTTAAATATCTTTAAATATAATTACAGTCAATCAGATCTTACAAAAAATATATCAAATCTTATCAGGCAAACAATTGCAATCAAATATCCCTCTCTCTCTCTTCGATATGATTACTAAGTAAAAAAACAAAGCCTATAAAGGAATCCAGCTCCTCCTCTTCGTCAAAGATTCCCTTCGTGGATCCCCTTTTCCCCTGAAGATTCAGCATCCACTTTGTAGGAGTGTTTTTACACGCCCCTCGTGTGCAGAGCTTTGCACGTGAAAGCTTAATTTTTTTTAAATTGGTTGGCGGCGATGAGTTTCGAACTCGTGACCTCTTAGTCAACGAGGCTCTGATACCATGTTAAGGAACTCATTCAACCAGAAGCTCAAGCTTGTGGTTGTGGGCCAAGAAATGTTTCTTATATTCTCACACGCCCCCTCACGTGCAGACATTGTTTTTTTCGAGCCTTGCACGTGAAACCTAAATTTTTTTGAACTGGGTGGCGCTGAGTTTCGAACCTGTGACCTCTTAGTCAATAAGGCTCCGATATCATGCCAAGGAACCAACTCAACCAAAAGCTCAAGCTTGTAGTTGTGGTCAAGAAAATGTTTCTTATATTCTCACAGACTCAAATTAAAATTTTCGATTTAACTTTTACAAAAAAAAATTAAAAAATTAAAATTGTTTGTTTGAAATTTATACAATTTGTAAAAGAGAAAAAATGATGTGAATCACTCCTTTCATTCATTGAAATAAATGATAATTTTATTTTAGGATAACTAAAAAAGAAAAGTAAAAATTTTAATTTGAGACGGTAGGAGTATTCGATTTTTATAGGCTCTGTTTTTTATTCCTCGTGACATATACGTCCTCTGTCCTAAAACGATATTCCCGTTTCTATTTACGAGATTTAATCGACTTTATTTTAAATTTATTTATTTGATTGTATGTGTAAAATTAAAAAATAAAATTTATATATTTAAAAACTACATCAAAAGTTGTACAAAACAAGAGATTGCAGTATTATATTATTTTATCAAATAACTAACAAAAATAGGTAAAAAAAGTGATTAAAGTTTGACCGTGTGAATAGCAATTGAAAAAAACGTTTTAGAACTGAGAGAGTATTTAATTTGGAGATAGTTTCCTTGTTTAGGTTTAATTTGCATTTTGAATAAGAATTTAACAGTAACATTTACCCTAATTTAACGTTTTCGAAAACAATTTGTATGTTTTGATCAAAAGTTTAGAGTAGAGTACGGTGCTAGCTAGTCACTCACTTTGTAGTTTGAACACGATTTTTACTTTACGTTTTTCAATTTGAGATATTTTAAAAATCTAAAAAAACAGATTTCATACTCGTATTATTTTCATAGGTGGGTTCCCATGACATTGGGTTCCAATGTCATGGGATGACCCGGGTGTGCTCCAGTGTCCCGTTTGTAAAATTGACGGTTCCTATCCCCCAGTAAACCCCCCACCCCGCCCCGACCCGAACACCCCCCAACCCCCGTCAATTATACCCCACTAGTTAATTTTACATTTTGACTCCAAAGGCAAAATCAACTAGTGGGGTGTAATTGACGAACGGTCCATTTTACGAACGGTGCACTGGAGCACCCTCGGATCATCTCATGACATTGGAACCCAATGTCATGGGAACCTTGGTATATTTTCATTCCAAGATTGGAGAGATTTTGGTACGATTTCTTTTTAGAATTTTACTTTTCCTAAATTACCCTTATACACATCAAAAATTCATTTTACTTCTCTCCTTTGAGAAGTTTTTTTTCTTTCACCGTTGACTTCGGCCATCTAGATATACAATCTCCCGTCCTAAAAAAAATTTCTAATTTGACTTTTTCATTAAATAGATATACTTTTTTACCAAAAAATTTATGAAAAATATATTGAATTATAATATAATTTAAATATAATTAGATACATCAGTAGTTTTGATGTATTGAACATTTATAATATTTATTTGTTTAAATTTTGTTTAATTTATGATTAAAAATTGTCACTGTTTGACTTAAAAAATCAAATCATGAAGATCTTTTAGAATTGGAGATT